GAAAGAAAGAGAAAGAAAGAAAGAAAGAAAGAAAGAAAGAAAGAAAGAAAGAAAGAAAGAAAGAAAGAAAGAAAGAAAGAAAGAAAGAAAGAGAAAATGAAAGGAAGGAAGGAAGGAAGAAAGAGAGAGAGGGAAGGAAGGAAGGGAGGAAGGGAGGAAGGGAGGAATGGAGGAAGGGAGGAAGGGAGGAAGGAGCCGCTGTGCCCAGCCTCTGTCCATCTATGTAGATACAAACGGATATAAAGATCCATGCACATGTTCTATTCCATGTAGCGGTGTGTGCGCGCAGCTGTGCTGCGTAACAAGCATTACCCGTACGCTCTCCACTTTGCCAGTGCGTCACCTCCGACCAGTCGCTGGGGTACGTGTCTGACCCGTAGGCGACATCTGAGGCCTTCACCCTCACCCGCAGAGAGTAGCAGTTCTCGGAGTCCAAGCCTTCTATGGTGACATTGCAGGTGTCTCTTTCTTTAGACTGGAGAAACACACACACACACACACACACACACACACACACACACACACACACACAATGATGAGTGACATAACCTAGGCCCTTTCATTTTAGACCCCCAGACAGTTACATGTTTTCATTCCCTTCTCAGATGTTTTCATTCCACTATTCTTTATCTTCCCTCTCTGTAGAGTTTTTTTGGGAGTGGAGGGTGTGGGACAGAGTTTCACTCTTGTCGCCCAGGCTGGAATGCCGTGGTGCTATCGGGGCTCACCGCAGCCTCTGCCTCCCGGGTTCAAGTGAGTCCCCTGACTCAGACTCCCAGGTAGCTGGATTCCTGACACCCACCACCACGCCCGGCTAATTTTTGTATTTTTCGTAGAGACGGGGTTTCGCCATGTTGGCCGGGCTGGTCTGGAACTCCTGACCTCAGGTGATCTGCCCACCTCGGCCTCACTGAATGCTGGGATTACAGGCGTGAGCCACTGTGCCCGGCCCATGACTATGTATCTTTATAGATATAAATGCATATAAAGATTCAGATACACACGCCAGGTGTGGTGGCTCACGCCTGTCATCCTAGCACTTTGGGAGGAAAAGGCAGGTGGATTGCCTGAGCTCAG